ATATATATATATATATATATATATATATATATTTAACGAATACAAGAAAAGTTTATTAGTGCTGTTAATTTTGAATATCTGGGTACCAAAATCTTTCAGTAATTAAGTATATGGTTGATTTCAGATGTTATTATTATCTGTTATCGTTAAAAAAATCAAATTTATAACGTTTGAAATTAGTGGTACATTCAATTATTGAAAGATTCGGGTATTTGAGTAAAATTAACAACACTAAGATTTATGAATACTTCTAAAATATATCAAATATTTTAAAATAATATTTCTATTTCTTCAAAGGATCTCCAAAAGAAAAAGATTTCTAGCTATATCAATTCTCTAAATTTCTTAGAGTAGAATCTCTAAATGAATAAAAAGCGGCAGTGCTTTTACTATCGTTCGAATGAAAATACTGCCATTCGAAATTGCAAGAGTGATTGTTTACTTAAGTTTAGTTTAAGTTCTGAACCATGAAAGCGAATGTTTCAATTGATTAAAATAAATATATTGCTATTATGGCGGAATAGATCCGATTTATATTTCAATTTCAAGTGAAAATATTTATTTAACGATTCAGATTGTAGAATTCACTTAATATAGCTCGATGGTCTACTTTTCAAGTAAATTTTACTCCATGAAATTTAGAGAGAAAAAATTCCGAAGAGTTAAAGCTCAAACATCCGCACATTTTCTCACTACAGTATATTTACATATAAACTGTTTATAACTTCATCAAACTTAAAAAATTTGACGTTTTCGGTGTAAATTTGCCGTATAAACTTCTTTACTATTAATGAAAATAAATTGAATAGAGAAAAATTGATCAGCATTCGGATGAATTAGATGAAAAGTACGAATGAAAAAAAAAAGCTAATATTTTTTTCATTGTAAACAGTAGTAGCTAGTCTGTAAATATCACTGTAAACACATTAATCATACTATGTAAAATTGAATAATGCATCGAAGTTCTCTTTCTCTGATTCAGCTTGATGCGCAACTTCCGTGACGTCATCTGCCAAAAGTACTTCTTCAACGAGTATTGTTTCAATATTCGGCTCCATTGTGATGGAATCTTCTTCCTTGAATTCTTCTCGGAGAAGGTTGTTCGATTTCGATGTAGCGTTTTTCTTTCGTTTCATTTTGGGCCGATCGGTATGCACCTGCATGTGTCGTCGTAAATCGTATTTGCCAACGAATTGTGCTTGGCATATTTCGCATCTAAACGGCTTTTTGTTCGTGTGAGACCACATGTGCCTCCTCAATGCAGCGCTAAACGTAAACGCAACTCCACATACATTACACACATGAGGTTTTTCGCCTGTGTGCAGTAGCCGATGATCCTTTAACGTGGCATGCTGGTTAAAACTGTCACAATTAAAAAAAAAAAATATATATATATCAATATTAGAGATATCATTACAAGAAATCCATGTTCCAAATTCTTTGCAGAAGTTTATGACATCATAGAATTATCACTTACAATATAACAGAAATACTGAATAAATAATTATTTAGAACACACAGCGTACTTTTATGTTCTTCTCTTAAATACGCAGTATTCTTTTCTTTCAATCGTGAAAGTAAAACAAATTAAACTAAGTAAGAACAAAAAAGTCCTGTATCATTTTACAAACAAAATTTCGAGTTATTAATGATTGAAAATGGCTATAAATAGAGGCTTCTTTAATTAATAACTCGAAAATTTGCGTGTAATTTGCAAAAAGGGCCTTTTTGTTCAGAGTGGTCTAATCCACAAATAAATGACAGCTGTTGTATCTAGCAACAGGTTCAAAGTTCGAGATTCAAAGTTCAACATGCTGATGCCGCTAAGTACAACTGTCATATACTGTAAATTACTCTGAATAAGAAAGTTGTTTTACCATTTTGCAAATAACACGAAAATTTTCTACCTTCACACGAGTGATTATAAGAAAGGTTTCGGACACCCAGTATATACCGAAGTTTCTTACAAGAAATATAAATAATAATATAATTCTATAATAATATAATTCTGTATAATAATAATATAATTCTGAGAGTTTTGAGATCGTTACTAACCTTTTATTGCAAACATCGCATGTGTAGCTACGCGGATTGGAATGTATCCTTGTGTGATTCAGCAGGTTACCTTGCTGTGAAAACGATTTTCCACAGATTTCGCAACAGAACGGCTTTTCACCGGTATGGACACGCATGTGAGTTTCTAGTGTGCGTTTGTTGGGGAATCGTTTGTTACAGGTTTCGCACGGATACTTAGGCAGATAAAGGCCCTGCGGATCCAAGTGACTGATCAAGTGTCGCTTGTAATTACCCTTGTGATTAAATTTGCGCGAACACTGGCTGCAGGCGAAAGGTGCGCCACACACATGCGTTGTCATATGAGTCTCGAGGTCCGCCTTGGCCGTAAAACGGATGCTGCACTTCGAGCAACGGTAGCGCGGAAAATCGGCGTGACACGCCATGTGCCGCTTCAAGTAACGTTTCGTAGCGTATGCCTTATTACAGATGAAGCACGAATATGGCAAACGGCCGGTGTGCGTTTTCGCGTGCGCACGTAATTCTCGGTGGCTGTCGCAGTCCTTCTCGCATACCACACAGAAAAAAGGCCCACTGCTAGGAACGTGGTTGTCGATGATGTGTAACAACCCGCCTATCAGTTGATCGTAATTTTGCAAACACAATGTACACTGATATATAGTCTCGTTTCCCTGCCTCAGCTCTTTTATCCGCGTTATCATGTCGTTCAGGCTACCTAATATGTTGTCCTTAGGATCGATGAAGTAATCGGAATCAGACTCATCGTTGTCCGTTTGCAGTGCAAGCTGTTCAATTTTCGAATTGCTCTCTTCGCTCGTTTCCTTATTTTCCATCGAGTCATCGTCCTGATCTGTTGTGCAAGTTGTACGTTTCTTCTCCGTAACTGCTTTCGACTCCACCGGACTAGAAGCACATATGTCGTGCGAGAACTCTTCGATATCTTCCTCTTCTTTATCCAATATTTTCATGGCATCTACAAGTATGTTGTGGTCGTTCTCGGCTTTTTCTTGATCCGAGTCAGATATCGAAATTTCCGTGGTGGAATCGATTATAGATTTCGGTACATACATTATAGTGTACTGCTGCGAGTCCAAGATCTTCGTAATTTCCTCTGGTATTTCCTCTGGTATCTCCTCTGGTGCTTCAGTTTTTACAGAACCTACGTCCGTTTGTTCCTCGCTGGTTTCTCGTAGATTGGAAAGAACATCAGCCCAACTGAGGTTACTATCCTTTTCATCATTGTGGTTTCCGAATAACTGAGATACATCTATCATAACTTCTTGCTTGTCCTCAGTTGTCTCTTCTATTATCTCAGGCATTAAATTCTGTGAGATATCACTCGGATCGCTTGGCAATATGAATTCAAAGGATTCGTTTATTGGCATAGAAATGTCTATGATGTTTTTCTCATCTAATGGTTCTTTCTGAAAAAAAAAGAGAAACCGAAAAAACTTTGAAACTGCAAATTTTATTGTATGACAATTTAATGAACCAATTAATTCATTTATTAAAATTTAACTTACAAGATTAATCTTATTTTGCCTATATGTTACTTATGAGATATATAATATCTTATTATTATACCTTTAACATGCGCTCCTGTTTCCCAAACATCTTTAACAATTTCTTGTTTGTTTCTTGTACTTGCTGCTTAAAGTCATAAAAAACATGAATACGATAAGCACATTTGCAGCAGAGTTTGTCGGGAAGTCCATCGAATTGGTTAATCTGTTAAAAAAGATTTTGATTGAACATGCTGCAAACCATTTGCAGCGATGTAAACATTCTTTATTTTCAGCTATAGCCAACTTTTATTAACTATAAAGTCCCATTTAATACATTTAATGCATCCCGTTCAAAATGATCATTTGATGCTTTAGCATCAAATTAATTAAATAAAAATAAAAAATAAAAAAATTAAGGTTCATAATGCATATCTGCACTTGTGAACTCAATTGATCACCTTTGATCAGCAAACTACCTGAGTGCACATTAAGGTTAGGTATGTTATTTCGTGTTTTTTTTACGCAAGTTACCGCGAGATTGTAAGATCACTTGTACACCGTAATTCATCGAAACAATTCGGCGATTCGCTTACTTCGACAGACGTGAGTTCTACGAGCTTGCCCGGCAGATTCATGCCTTTGATTTTATTATCGCCGTACATCGACAGCATGGTGCCGTTGGTTTTCATACAGGCGCGGCACATGTCCGTGTAACAAATTTCCACGCTCATGGTTGTGCGTAGTGTGGTGATACTTGAATACGGACTGGCAATGACAATCACAGTGAACGATCACGCGACATGAACATATGCATTTCACATTTCGCGGTTGACGCGGTTAGGACGCGTTTTCCTGCAGCCGACATTGGCCGACATTTGCCACAGACATGTACTTGCATCAGACAGTAGCTATCGCAGCGCCAGAAGGTTATCGCAAAAAGTTGCGCGCTGTACACTGATGCCCTCTCTACGAGTATTGCGGCTAGGCTATAAAGTGTTATGCCCATATCAGATTACGGATTAGGATTGGGTTTGAATTGAAATTTGACCAATCAGTGCAGAGTTCACTAAATCTCACTTAACTTGAGTTCAGTTAACTTTGCATTGATTGATCAAATTCATTTTAATTTCAATCCTTAATCCATAATATGATACGGGCTTTAGACTACGCATTGGATACTGAGGATTGCAAATTTTGGAAATTAGAACTCTTGAACAGTCAAAATTGTTATTATCCATAATCGTCGAATTTTTATTTCTAATTCGCAACTTTCAATCTGCAATATAAAGTCTGAGGGCCGATTGTTCCATCTCCTACTTGGTAAGATTTGCCCGATAGGTATCTATTAGGTGAACATCAATAGCTGTTATTGATTGGTCGGTGCAATAGATACCTATCGGTTAAGTTTTACCAAGAAGTTGGAACAATCAGCCCTGATACAGGAAATAATCGATTATCTGAACGAAAGAAACAATTGTATATAAAATTGCCTCTACATAGTTCATTAAGCTCGTTATCTCTTCCTTTCTATATTTTCCTTTTAACTCTTAATTTTACAAACATAGAGAAAATCAACATAGAGAAAATGGTTAAAATTTTTTTATAGAAAATGTACAATAGTAATGAATTGTCACACATATGACAAAATTATCTGTTATAAGGACTTCTCATCAACCAAAATCCATAAAGATAACTTAATGTCATAAAGATAACATAATGCCAAGATAACTTGCTATATTTTGACAGCCGTTAAATTAATATTTTTTATATTCTATCTTTTATGACTGTTTGTTTTTTTTTTTCAGGGAGAAGCTAATGCAAATACGAATCCACGATGGGAAAAATGCGATTAAAATGTAAGTTCTGTTTTTTTCTTCAATTAAATAAATTTAAAACTATTCATTATTCGTTTGTCAATTTATTTACGTGCATATATCTGCGACTCAGGCTCACTTTGATCGAATTTATTTCACGACTGAATCTCTAAGAATCTATTATAACTTGTTGTCACTGATTTTTATAAGCTCATTTATATTAAGAATGTTTTTGATATGTACATAAATAATCATGTTAAGCATTTTTGGCTTTCAGTTTTGTAAAATTACATTTCGATATATAAAAAGATGTATAAAAGATGTATAAAAAGATGATTTCGACCAAAGATTGATAAAAAAATCTATATAAAAATACATGTGTTATATGTTCTTACTCAGTAAACTCCGAACATCAATCACATTACACATTACATCTACGTTATGATTTCTCACTCAACCATGTAAATGCAATATAACACATAACTATTTACATGGTTGAGTGGAAAATTATAACATAGATGTAATGTAACTTATATTCCGTGTTTATTAAACAGAAGCTTGTATTTTTCATTATTACGCCGAAATTATCATTTATCTTCTGCTATATTCTAACTTGTAAACAAGAGTCATCGATTTGTATTTTAAGATTCAACTACATTAAATCACGATCCTTCAGTTTGTGCTTCCTCGTGAAGACGATATAGAAGTTAAAGATTAAGTGGCAAAGTAACTTTTGGCAATGAGGACTGGCGTCAGATGCAGCGATAACGGGGATAAATTTAGATGATAAGAGAGAAGTAAGATGAGTTCTTGGCCGCTTACCTCGTACGAAGTTCCGCTGAAGAAAACTGGCTTTATTTTGCATTGAGTTCCGGCTCACGTCACTCGCACTAGCTGTAGTTTATAATGGACATCCAAAGTGAGCGGGAACTTCGCGTTACAAACGATTTGTCGCTTTACGTGCAGATCGTATTTGTCGAGCGACGCACGCATTTGCATTGTTCGTGGCACAGTTAAATCGTCCGTACACTAAGATGAAAAAAATGATTAATCTTATTGAAATTCTAGTCACATCCAGCGCCAACTATTCTTGTTATTCTGACAAAAAAGTAATAGTAGCAAGGTGCATATATTATCACTATCGCTGTAGTAATATTGACTAGAAAAATGGCCTGTTTGACTACAATTCTTTCATTATACATTTATAGCTAAACATTTTTTTCTCAGTGTGCTGTGTGTACTTAATTCAGTTTTTAAAGTACCTAAGTTTCATCTATCTGAAATGTACGAAACATAAGGTAAATTTGTGAATTAGTTTTCACTTCAAATCGTCACAAGCGTTTTAAGATCCCCGCTATTTCGTGGTAATGAATTTGTTGGAAATCCGTAACAGAGAAACGATTTCGTATGCAGTGTGTACATTTCTTTAAAGCCGTGAGCGTTGGATTAATTGAGCCGTGTTGAATTCTTCGTGCACTGAAACGACTTGTAAATGTTTCACGGAAAGAGCAGAGAGTTATACATTACTCACTGAAACTCTCTGTTTCTCCTTTTTTCTCTCTCTCTCTCTCTCTCTGTCTCTCTCTACATTATAGTTCCATTACGCCAAATTGATATTTCACACAAAGGTATTTGGGATATGCGCGTGATCTAACAAATCAATATAACGAGTTTCATGTTCAGCTAATATTTCCTCATGAAATTCGATCGTGTCAAAGTCAACTGGAATACCAGCATAGTTGTTGTAACTATAAGATAGTAATAATCATTAAATATAAAAATCCCAGTACAAATAAATTATTTTTCTTTGTAACAGTATTTAAAAATGATGCATAATCTCTCCACAGAAAGACATAACTGTCTTTAATTTTAACTTTAATTTTTATATTTCATTCTATCTTGAATACGGTTTATTAGAGAGTTATATTATCGGCAAAACTTTCTTTTATATATTTTTATTGCGATTTATTTTATATTTGCAATTATTAGATACATTTATAAATAATCGTGGAAAATAAGAGGTATATTAAATAAGAGACATTCAATATATATCGAATAAATCGCCCGAATTGTCGTTCTTGTTTCAAAATTTTTTACTATATAATTAATTTCATTTAGTAGCAAAATCGCGTAATAAAACAGCTATGTTTTTCACGTTTTTACACATTCATATATCGCACTTACACAGACACAATTGTAACTAACTAGACAAATTCGATTTTTTATTTGTTCTTACGATTTAAATTCAAAATACAAAACCAGCTCGTTTCATCTCACACTGTTCTTTTAACCGTGTTTGATTCTCATTAATTAAATAGTCGATATTCGTTGAATGCAATCTAGCGGATGACTTGTTTCTTGAAAAATTCATATCTGTTTAATTATTTCGTCTAAGCATTTAATCTTTACGATATCGCGGGTACTTTTCAAGTTATTCAGCCAATATTCTGCGTTAGAGCTCTCGTGAAAATGATTTCGCTGTTCCGTTTCATTCAATCGCACTCTCGGTAACTTAGAAATAGCATGGATAATTCTACTTGATTACATAAAATTACGCGTATAAAATTTCCCATATAATAATTAAACGTGTCCTGTATAATAATTAAATTATGAAGCACCTGTGCGGCGTACGTCGCGTACGATGTGCAGCGTCGAGAGAGTTAATTAATTTGTTACAGGACAACTTATTCCGTCTATTTAATCGGCTGCATGTAGAACAGTTCTCCGGTAATAGTTTCATAAGTCACGTCATAAGTTGTCCGGTAATAGTTTCATAAGTCACGTTAGACTTATTAAACCTCGAATACAATAAAGCGCGTTTGGTGATGGCCAAGCCGGTAACAGATACGGTAAATAGGGTATGCACGCCGTTCATTGCAGGCGCATATTGCACAGAGTGCATCCGAAGTCTTCCGGATTATACTGGCGTGGTTTATGCGTGCTAAATTATATATTCACGTACTGGCCGTTTAAATTATTTTCCCGCCGGGAAATATATATATATATATATACGAAATATATAAATACACTCAAATCAACAAATCGTTTATCAACATTCGTTGTCGGGTCGGTTATTCTCCATTAGACCTTCCATACAGCCAGGAATTTATTTCAATTAATATCACAATCTCTTTGCTCAAGTCGCTGTCATATCTAGAAATTAATCGTACGACATAAAACCTTCCTTCATTATTATGTTACATTTATACAGACGTTACGTTACGTTTGTGAAATGTTTCCGAGAAATAATTCGAATTGTTGAACAAACGTGCAAATGGAAGAAATGTTAATATTTCGAAATTTATCTCTGCGCACGCACAGATCTTAACTATTTATGGTGTATTGAGATAAATTATTATTTGGAGACCCGAAGTAGATCTCTGGTTTACATCGTCATGCCTCTCACGTACTCCCACCTGCCACGGAATATTATTTCTTGCGTTACGTTCTCCGGAAAACTTGGTGGAACTTGCGTCTCTCGGGAAACAGCATAATTAGCTCGCGTTAATACCCCCATTAGCGCGTAACGCCGGGTGCAATCATTAGTCAGCCTCTCTTAGCCTAATTAGAGCCCGACACACGATCGCGCATATTTTGATATAATCACGCTGCTCCTTTTCATTCATTCGGACAGCGTATCTCTGGCATTCTGTATCTAATTTGAGTCGATGTGTTAAATCCGACGACGGCGACGACGTTCTGTCGTCGCTTGCGTTTCGATGAAAAGTCGATCGACCCGTTGAGGGTGGATCGACAGCGGGAGGCTCACTTTTCGAAACGCGGCCCATCCCTCTTCGGACGGTAGCCCTCCGTCGCAGCGCCTGCGCTCGAACACTTCCTATAAGAGACCGAAGGCCGCTCGCACCGGTTTCAGTCTGCCCCGCGGTACCGGCGCCGCGGTCGTCGTTGCGCGTCTCGTATAAGCCTCCTTCGAGGACGATACTCCCCCGTTATGATGCTCCCTAGTTTCGACTGAGAGCGAGAAAGAGAGAGAAAGAGAGAAGGGCTCTTCTTTTCCTCTCCCTTCCCTTTCCGCCGCGATAAGCGAAGCAGCGTCGCCCGTCGCCGACGTCAGCAACGACCGTCGCTCTCTCCTCCTGGACGATCAGCGTACGTTGACATAAAAACACGGAACGAGCGGTATTGAGAGCGGTAGTTCTGGCCGTGGTTGTTGCGCGGACTTGGTGGTGGCTGGTGGTGGTGGCAGCGACTCCTTGGGATCGCTTTCCGCGGCCACCCCCTATGCGCGCGGCATGTGGATGTGCCCTGTGTGTTATTTAACCGATAATCGAACGTAACTCTTATGATGGTGATGTTACCTGTCGCGTTGCTAAATAGTGGGATCGTCGACGGAGAACGAGCGCGGTGTTCGCTTTTCGGTGTTCGATAGCGGATATTGCGACTAATCTTCCCCGATTTGGTAAACCCTGGACGAAACTGTCTTTGGCCGTTGTGTTTTCTCTCAAATCTCCTCTCCTTTCTGTTTTTCTTTCTCTTTTTTTTTTTTCCTTTCTTTTCGTTCTCTTCTGTGGTGAATGACGCTGTCGTCGGGTTTTTTTATTCGTCGCTGCGCGCAGTGGATGGACGGATCTTTCGTTTTCTTCTTTCCCTTACGTTGTCGTTTATTGTTGATGGATGCCGTTGCTCCTTGTTGTTGTTGAGTAATGAATGGAGTTGTTGTTCGAATGGTGGAATGAAGATTTTTCGTTGCTGCGTATGATGGATGAATTGCTCTCCGTTGGTTAGATACTATGTGAAGCCTTGTTTTAGTAGTTGATTAGCTGGACTTGTTTAGTTATTTAAATGAAGAATGACTTTTAGCTTATCGTTTCGTTCGAACGAAAACTTCAAACGCTCGGAATATAGTATAGTATTTGAAGAATGTGTGTTTCTCTGTGTGTCATGTTTTATATGTCAGTATAAGAGAGAAAGTGGAGAATACGTTAATACAATCGTATAAACATTAATATCAGATTTAAATAATTTAATTATTTAAATTCGTTAAATGCAATCGTTTAAATATTCAGACGGACGAAAAATTTGTCGCTTCTCTCACAGTACGACCCGAACTCCGTGAACTTCCAGCGAACTTGTCGCGCGCAAGAACCTAATAGATTAACTCGGTTAATTAGGACACAATTAAACTCTTACTTATGGGACCACCCTCGAACTTAATACGAGGAGACCACGTCGTCGTTACATCGTAAAGAGATTTAACTTGGTCTCTTTTTATCGGTCGGTTGCGTCGCTCGTCGGAGATTTGGGGAAATAGGATGTCGAGAGGGAGGGAGGGTCCTCTCCATTCTGGCTAGCCGGGGAAACCAGAGAGTGGATGGGGTGGAGGATGATGGTGCATTTGGCGCGTGCGTTTGTATCTCTCGTTGATGCCGTCGCTGCCGCGGCGAATACGAGGCGAGGCCGCGCACTCGTTTGCTTTTTCGTTTTGTCACGCGATACGCGTACCATGCAGCTTCCGCGATGCTTAACGTATTAACCGCCGCATCGTGTTGATATCGTTTTCCTGCGTCGAGGGCTGACCGTTTTTTTCGAACGAATTTTCTGGACCGCGCGGAAAACCCGACGACGAGTGCCGCCGTCTCTCAAAAAGAAAGATCATCCCTGTGTAATTTCCCATGTATGTATGTGTATTATATATTCATCGTTTGAAATAATAAATTTTACACACACACACACATCTTGCAAGAGATAGATTAAAATCTTTACGTCCTCAAATTTAGGTCGTAGTGTCGTCAATAAATTTCTAGTTTTGTAAATTCCTCCCACGTTGATTCAGACAGATATTTCGATATTTTTCTTTAACGTCCTATTTCAAATAACCTAGAGCGAGGTATAAAAGCTAGAAATGAAATATTTTATATTCCTGAATTTTGTTTGATCTTTTTTCACGAAATATCATGTTTTTTCTATTATCCGAATAGACCATAACTAAAAATGAAAAAGACTGAAAAACGAAAGTGGAGGAAGGGGGGTCATTTGCAAATGAGAAAGAGAGAGAAAAGAGGAGCTTTGCTCATCGAGAAACAATCGAAAAGCGGTGCAATAATGTTGCAGGATATCTTTTCCATAGAAAAGCATCGCATTGCAAAGGTCGTTTAACGACGTTTTGTTTTTCTACGAGTTTTATCGATTACGGCGTGGCGTCGCGAGGAATTACAGCTTCGGCTTTGAAGATCCTCGTCGCAACATTCACGCTGTAGATGATGGTTGAAGATGAAATCGCAAATCGAAAACCAACGACCGAATGGAATTGGGAATCGAAACTAACGCGATAAAGGTACGATTAAACGCCACCTAAACCACCTCTTCTCTCTCTCTCTCTCGCTCGGATTTCCGAGGAACGCTGACCATACTGTTTGTTTATGCATAACTCGTGAGAACCTCCGTCAGCATGCGGCTCAGTTTGCGAAACGCCACAAGTCCGAGCTTGCGCTGCTGCATGCGAAATGCATGCATGTGTCCTTTCTTAAATGCGACAACGCGTCACGTACTAGCATGTGCGATAACCTGCGATAACAGGCGTCGATTTTACGGCCCTTTGTGCGCCTCGCGACATTATGCTCGACGAGAAACCATATCAGGAAATTGATAGCGGTCTGCCTTCGCATTTCACCCTCCATTGGCAGCGTTCCGTTGCGTCAGCGGGAAAATGTAATTGAGACAATCGCGATCGAATCGATAACGCGGCTTCCATCCAACATATGGGACGTCTATAATTCATGCGCGTCACGGAAGCCAGCATAATTCATTGAAACGATGTGATCTGAAGGCTAAAGTAAGAGTTCACCTTGGCGCGATACGTAGATTGTCTCTCTCTCTCTGTGCCAAAAACAAAAGGCAAATATAGACTTACACTGGACCGTGTTTTACTCGAAGAGATTTCTAGATATTGATTCCCGCCGATATTTGAAATTCCGATCGTTCTTTTACTCGCAAGACAAATTCGCGCATTTTTTAAGCGCACACGTATACATACAAATGGAGGGTGCATCGGAAAAATCACTGGGATACCTTCGATAACATTTTTTCTCTATCGATGCGCGACCCAGCTTATTTGGAGCGCGCGCGGAAATATATTGCACACGACGGATACTCACGACATCGCGCATATGCGCTACGGCAATGCGCGAGACGGGAGAAATATGCTCTGGAGTAACCGCGGCGTAAGTCGCGGCAGCGGTATCCACGCCAAAAATGATTTATGATTTTGCCGAACGTACGTATGCACGTATGCGAAATTGACAAAGTGGCGCAGCTTTTTTAGAATTAGCGGAGCACACGCGATCGTTGCTCCTCGAGCGTAGAGCTACCGCGGAGCAATAAGACGGAATAGTAAAGTGGCCCTTCAAGTAAGATGCATCGTCGAAAGAGCCCTCCCGCTCTTCGTTGTGAACTGTACGAATTCGATAAGAGGGCTACGCCGAGACATTTGTCCGGTTTATGAAGATGCATTGGACGTTGCCGATGCCGGCCCAGTAAATTTTGATCAGGCCCATGTTAATCTTTAGAATGGCTATCATTCGGCTCGATACGCGCACGAGGTCGAAGGACGGAGTTAAATCTCCGCTAAATCACTTAGCGATCACCATGGGCGAGAGAGTTGGGCGGGAGGGGAAGGGAGGGAGGGAGAAAGGGGGAGAGAGAGAGAGAGAGAGAGCTCGCTTTGCGATTCCGCTCGCCTTCCCTCCGGATCAGCGAACTCATATTGGAACAGAGGAACCAGCGGCGAGGAAAATGATGGGTTTACACCCAAGTGGATTAAAGCGAAAATCTATAAGGCTACTTCAAATACGAGCCTCGGAATCCATAAGATTTATTTCAAATACGATTCCATATCTGTATAATACCCTCTCTCTCTCTCTCTTTCTCTCTCTGTCTCCGAATCCGATCCGAAATGCAAGGCGTGTTCAAGAAGACGCGCGATCTTGACATTGTATATAGATAATGGCTCTCCGGAAAGTTCGTCGCATCAATTCTATAGGAGTATCTAAGCTTTATAATAATAATAGTAATCTTTATTAACGTGGTACCCCTTTAATATATGGAAAGTGTAATTTTGCAGATACAGGGATAACAAAAGTAACACAGACGCAATTTGTCAGAGATTCGCGAAATGGAACGTCTAAAAATAGATAGTGTCGGGTGAAAGAAATTTAAAAGACGGAGCCTGAATTCGCAACTAAGTAGAATCTATTTAAGCTAGAATAAGTATCATATGTTGTACGAGGTGGATCTAATGGGTAAATATTTGAAGAATGTTCCCATATGAAAATAAATAAACTACCATAGCACGAAAAAATTACTGGTGTACTGTTGAAGAACAATACCAGTAATTTTTTCGTCTTTTTGTAGTTTATTTCCGCACGGGAACGCTCTTCGGATATTTATCCATTAGATAAATTTGTCCGAACGTGGAACAACCGACCTTAAATCGGATAATTCTTAGCACGCAATGAAATTATCATAGAGATTATAAACAAATAATAAGTCGAAAATAAGTCTGCTTTGATACAAAGATAGCATATTCAGTCTCACAAGAACCGACTGGTAATCATGACAACATAATATATTTCGAAACGGATAAAGAGTCGATGACGCATTTGACGATACATTCGTAGTAACGCGCGTGAAGCTGCGTATTTTAAAGGCTATCGAATCCAGCAATCGACGAGCAGCCGTGGTCTTTTTATCGCGTTGTACGCGCGTATGTACCGAATAATAGCGGCCCGATGAAGTGGTACGAACCCGTCATATCGCGTGGACTCGTTCACACTGCGAATGCGCGAACACAAATTTATCTCGGAGGTTGGACAGAGGGTGCGCGTGCGAGCAGCGATACGCATTTATAAATTCGCAGAGTGCACGCACGAGTGTAGGTCGTCGGCGCGAAAGCGCACACGTATATGTGAGAACTGTCTCTCGAAATAACTTCCTAGAGAGGGAGAGAGGTGTATATATATACACGCATACACATATATGTGTGTGTGTATAGAGAGAGAGAGTCAGACGTGAAGTTTCTTTCGACTGTGCCTGCGCGGACTTGCCTCGTTCTCCATAATGTAGCGCGACAGATAATAATGTAACGACATGAGTTTCTACGCGCGATGTCTCCTGTGAAATTTATGCGGCCGGTGCCGCTTGCGCATATCGCACGATCTCCAATTCGTTGCGTCGCCCTGCTCTTTATTTTTTTTCTGGCACGCGCGTGTTTCGCGGCGCGTTTTTTCTTTATAAGAATTACCGCGCGAAATGAAATTGATGGTGCTAAAATTTAATCGTACTCCTCCATCCTGCCGTGTTGCCACGTAACGTACGTATGCGCGGTCGTGATAGTGCACAGAATCGGTCCTATTATCATTAATATGCGAGCTTTACACGTCTATAAATCGATCTTTAGTATTGTGCGTTATATACGCGATACCCAAGCCTACGATTATTAAAGCGACGTGAATATCGATTGTTAAAGATAATAGCGAAACAATCGGTGGACGCCGCGGTGGAAGCGTAATAGCTAATTATCGCTCGCATTATCTCGTAGCGTAAATTTAACAATTCCTGCATCCCGACATCCGTAACGGCGTGCGCTCGATGCGCGTCCCGATGAATTGCGGACGCTCGAGCGCGTCGCGCGTTTCCGTGCTTTTCGCAGTTATATTCGAATTCGTCCGCTTCCCGGGATAAACTTTCTTGTTTTGGCAACTGCTGCTGCTGCTGCTGCATTAGCGGGAGGTATCAGGTATTCCGTCAAAAAGAGAAGAGAGAGCAGGGACGTCACGTTAATATGTAAATTAGCGAAACGCACAAGAAGGTAATTCAAAATGCAGGGGATTCCTTTTATTTGCGTCCGGCATAAATTTGAATTTTTTATCGGCGTAAAATCAACTCTCTATCTCGAGGTTGGCCGGGAAAATCCCACGGGGCGTGATAACTTACGCAAACACGCATTTCATTGCATTTGCATTTTCATTCGCGTAATACACAGTATTTGAACTTTGTCGCATGTATACATGACACATGACGCTGACAAATATTTTAAGATCGTTATATCCAATATTTAGGTATATTACGTTGTAACACTGTAAATTCAGACGCGTCGATAAATTTGAAGAGAGGAACGATAGAATGCCGGTATGATCCACCTTATTTTATATCCGTTATTGTGAGGAGAAATATCTTTCCTTATTTATAAATATTCACATACGGCTGTGTGTCAATTCTGTAAAGTAATAAACGATTTCCTATATACGTGTAAACTTAAAGTTTATATATGTATGTTTATCTAAGTATAATGTAAGCTCCAATTTGCTTAAACTTAGTTATAGGTTATTAACATTTTTTAATTATTAAAACTAAAACTATTAATTTATGACAGATTTTTTTTCAACAGTAATATATTTTTTTCTTCAACAATTGTATCATTTGAAGACATTGCACTCTTTGAGGACACAAGAAAAAGGGAGGAAGCGGGTTTATCACGTGGAATTACGTATATTCAAGAAGTTTTAAACGATAGTTATTCAAGTTAGCGTTATTGCCTTATCTCGACCGTGCACTATCGCTCCTTTTCGGCATTATAGAGCCGTCGCAGTTCCGGCCTTTAACGACGATTCCATTGGAAACTTAGCCCCAACTAGTCTCGAACTAACTACGCCCGCGATTTTTGAAATGAGGTAGGCCGTCGTGCGAAGTTTTTAAACAGGATTAAAGTTAATTCAAACCAATCGCGAAGTTCGCCCCAGTAATCAGCTGTTCAAAGGCCCCTCGAGTTTCCAAACCGTATTTTCAGCTCGCGATCTCGCGGAAAGTCGCTCAAGTTCGGAATCGAAATAATTGAAGAGGTATTCACGCGAGCTAGCAAACGAGGTAAATTAATCGCTTTAGTTAGCCTTACTCTCGGTCGGCACAGAATATAAATTCGTGTAAATGCGACAGGTCGCCGAAAGTGTCCCTCATTTCGACGATTCTCATGTATACTTGATGGTTTTCACGCGCTTTTCGCCAAACCACCTTAAAAATATAAAAATCATTATTAATGCCGCGTGTGGCGTCACGATATAAAAATTTAAAATTACATGTACAGCCATGACGTGTACAGTCGGCGACGAAAAAAATTGCAATTTTTTTCTCCTTCTTTCCGATATGTTTCGGAATAGTGAAAACTACCAGGACGGTTATTACAATTTTCACCCATCCCGAAATTCATGGAAAATCGTCGCAATCCTTTCGAAATCAACTATATACCACTTGATATATACTGAATGCGAAATATATTCTATTGTGCCCGCCTAACGGCTAAACAATGTTGTCGCTAATATCCGTTTGGACGTATCGTTGTTACGTTTATAACGTATCCGATGCCGGTCTTCCGGTCGTTATGCATTTAGCGCACGCCGGGAATCTTGCAGCTCCATAATCGTCACGCCCAATGCGAATGTGAATGCAAATGCAAAACGCGGTTGATGCACCCCGCGTTGAATGAGGCCGGGAATTGGAATGTTGCTTTGAACAAGTGTGTCGCACGCATTCATTATACTACACGATTGCGGATAAATCGCTGATACGACCCCCGACGGCCGGACGGGGGAATTGTTCGTCGACTTTAATTAACATTAGACCCGTGCGTCGAGGCGATTATTATCGACGAAATTAGATTCAAACACGATTACCAACGAGGATTTTGAGTTAAAACCGAAAGCGGGAGTAAGGTGATCCGTTTGTGGATGTTAAACACGACGACGATAAGCCCGTAGTTAATTTGTGTTCGCGACGTTGCGATAACACAAATTTCCATGAAGAAGAGATAACAGGCAGAGGAAATCCATAGATACAAAATTTACTTATTTCGATGCATTAAAGATATTTCATCCAATTTATTAATTATCTTCTAATTAAATTTCTAAGTAAAACCGAGAGATCAATACCAAGCTTCTCCAAACACAAGATTGCCCCCGTTGAACGTACGCAAGATTTTCTTTTAATCCGTAAAGGCCTGTCTATATAGGTCGCAACACGCAAAACGCGCTTCGCAAACGCATATGCAAAATGACGTTTCACTAAAGGGCATATATTTACAGATCGTAACGATTTGCAGATGCGTAACGAGTTAAATTAACTTCAACTTTCTGGGTTACAGCAACTGCGTCGATTAATCCGAGAAAAACAAATGGAAAACTGTCATTTTTCTACTATCATTTGCAAACTGCGTTTTGCTATGTAAATGAGTTAAAGTAAGCGCGTGACTTTTTGAGGAATAAAACAACTGCTGTTTATAGCCGAGATTCTCGAATGTTATTGACGCTACTTCGCTAAATTTAAACTGAATACGATGGCGACAAATTATTGTTTGTGGCTCAGTTTGACACTCATGCATCTATTCGCGTGTTAAATGGGCATAAATATACGAGCGCGGACACTGATTCATCATATTGTGTTTGATTAAAATATTTAATAAAATAATTAACAATACACTCCGATAAAATACATATTAATATCAACTTTAAAATATATAGTTATATTACTTATAAAATAATACATCATTGTATGTTAAAATTGTCGTAATTGGTGTAATATTATTATATGTTATTATTATAATATTATTGTTATGGTAAATATCTTCCGGTATACAGGTATAATTATTTAGTGAAAAATTTAAAGAGTATATATATATATATATATATATATATCACACTCATTATATATATATATATATTTCTCTGATCTATCAAGAAGGGACGTTTCTCGGTGACAAGCGTTGTTCAAATTAATCGCGGATTAAACATTACGGATGTAGTTTCACGGCAGACGTTGCAGTACGCGGCGGTACCGCATCTCCGCAAACAGGCCGCACGGTACATGGGACGCATAACTCGTAGTTGCACGTCCGGCCAAAATGGAGCGGCGGCGGGTATATCGATTATGGCATTTCGACTCAGGTTTCCGGGAGCCGAGCTATCCGGTCAGTTTCAAGGCAATGCATATCAAAGTGGCTGCGCATTTCGATAAAAGCTCTTAATCCGCCAGCACACTCCTTGCAATATTCTCGGATAGTGATGTCGTCATCTCCGGAAGCCGAAAACTGCTTATTACACAAAGAAGCCGCAAAATAACGGTCGGATTCACCGGTAAATGAAAAATTTTCACGCACCCACGAGAAATTCGTTTCCATGTGCGGAGAATTGAGAAAACAAGCACTACTCCACTACCCCTAAATTTCATTTCCAACGTCAAAACGCAAACGAGAAACGATGGCTTTTCTAAAAGTCTCGCGTTTCAGCGTGAGATCTAGGCTTGAAATATTACTCGTAAATCAATTTTATTAGTCAGTTTAGTAATTTAATTTTTCTGACAATGCAGACAACTCGAAATTAAAGAGAAATGTAAAGAATGCGTGTAAATTATAAATAAGAAAGTGTATAACGTGATAAAGTGGGAATAGCTTGTTTCGTGCAGTATCAACAGTCACAGCCAAATGATTTTATTCGGTGTGCTAATCAATTCCTCGGCCATAATTGTGAGAGGAAAGCGACTCGATCTGAGCGTGACCGCGGTTCTATGTAGTGCGGTTCGTATTTGATTGCAGGCAAAGAATAACACACTGACTGATTTTATGTTTTATGCCGTCCGTTGATATTTTTCGCGGCAGCTTTGACCGATATATCTCGGCCGCTATCATTTGTAACGTCCGTTAATTTTCGATTTGCTTTGCGCGCTCAATGGCTCAATGACAATTCGATTTAACTCGCGGTCGAATTTGTTCCCGGTTTGCGCCGTCGTCGCCGCCGCAGTCGCCGCCACTGATCGCTCCCTTTTATCGTGAGCGCTCAGATTTCGTCCATCGAAAGACTAAAAGGGAACAAAGGATCGGTTTATCTCGAATGGAATCACCGATAGTGCTCGCGCGTGTAGCCGCGTCGTGCTGAAAATTTCGCGAGAGCGGCAAGCAAATAGTTAATCGGAGTCGCACTATTATACTGTGCTGCAACGTATGGAACTAAATTGTCTAGTTTCATGAACGTTGTCACCATTAGTATTGGGAGTTCTAAAGTACAAAAAGTTATAATAGTGTTGGTTAAAGTATAAACTAAATAAAGAGTGTGTGTGTATGTGTGTAACAATATATTTCATAAACCCGGAAAAGAGTTGCGTATTATTATTTTTCTAGTTTCATATAACATATAAAAAATGAATAAGGGAACAGTGTAATAGATGGAATTAAATTTCCAGGCGAGAATTTCACAGATTTTATTTCCGCGATTTTTTCGATTTCAATTTTCTAACATATATATAAATCCATCACTATAACAAATTTATCACTAAATATAAATGCACGGGAGAACAGGCGCTATTTTAATATTATTTTATATTCTGTGCGATGAGCCGTTTCGTCCGAAAAATACGAGTCGAATATCATAAATATTGCCGAACATTGTACATAAAGTTGTGCCACACTATTTTATTTAAATTTACCGGACTTTGAGGGTTGACCTACGCTTCTTTAGGATAAACGGCTCGTACGTATGACGACGCGGCGGAAGAATAATGTGCGCGGAAGGGGACTCCCGTCGCTTGATCTATAAATAAATCTTTCGCCGGTTTTCATAGTCCATGAAAGGTGCTCTTTGGTGATACGCGGTTTATCCGAAGGGAAATCGCGGTACGTATATTATCCGCAGCTTTCCCTCTTTCTTCTCGCTCGCTCGACTCGGAGAGGCCCATTCTCATTTTAATGTTACTCTTCGCTCGTATCTCCGAAATAATCTCCTATAACATGAGATCATATATATGGCCGTATATTTTTAATGGCTTTGT